TTAAATGAACTGCAGTAGTATCGTGAACGAGACTGTCAGATAAGAGGACTAGACTTCTATGTCGAATATCATTGCCGTGGCGATAATAATACACCACAGGATGGACAGTGCATTGATCATTGTTGTAATGGAACGATTGAGCAGCGTCTTGAGCTACGAAAGAATAATTCTCCGAAAAATCGGCCTGCACTAGAATTTCACCCTCAATTAAATTTTCCTTTCGTTCTTTCACGAAAGCGTTTTGTTGTATGGCAATAAAATGATGAGATTTCAATACTTTCAATCTCTCACAAAGTACATCAACAAATGCATACACTGGAAGTCTCTGGGTCTGTAATGTTGTTCTATCCACAGATTGCCAAGTCCTGAATTCTACAGTTTCAATCACAGCATCGTGGAGTTCTTTCAGTTCGAGCGATAATCCTTCAACTGCAGGAGTTTTTACACTCATCTAAGTGGCATTCAGGCGTTGGATTAGGGCACATGAGTCTTGTAAGGCAGTCTTTATAGTCGGTAAGGGGACATGATGAGTTTTTAGTGAGAGTAGAAATGTTGATTGCATCCAACATCAGCTTACAATTTTGATGATAGGTACAGACACATACCATGTGCGTACCACTCGCTCCTGCCACTACAGTGTTTCGGCCTCAATTCCGCAAACTTGCTGAATCCCACATTTGCTCTCATAGCCATGTACCTTGTCGTACCAAATTCACGGGTCACTTTTCGCTCACTCTATGAAGGTGGAGCAATAGTCAAGAGTTGAATACGTTCAGAATATTCTGTCGTATTGAATTTTTGCTTGAGTCCATCCAACAATTCCTCCAATTCCAATTCTCGTGGAGAACGAAAATTTGCTGGAATGTTCCTGTGGTGCTCTGTCTCTAAATCATCATCTGCTGTTGGAACATCGTACTCCTCTGAAGCTTCGTTGAAAATCACATCCCCATCAGGATCAATTGAATGGAAGGAATTACCTGATCTCAAAGAACTCCCTGCGATATTGCTCGTAGAAATGTCTATTAGAAATAGTGTGGCACTGGACGAACGATCGGCTGGAACATTTGATGACGATGAAGAGACTTCCCGATTCGATGAAGATTCAGAGGGTAGTGATCCAGGAATGTAAGTCAAAGCTCTTTTCCTACAGGAGCTACATAGTTTTGCATTTTCTGGCAAGAATGGAAATGTCTGTCGTAGTCTTCTTGAGATTCAACGCAAGTCTTTTCCATTGTGACCTTTCTCCCCAGGAACTTGCATTGGATTTGCACATCTTTCGACATGCAGCATCTTGTGGAATAGGAATGAAGAACAGTTCTGATCATTCAAAAAAAGGGAAAAAAATAATAACGATCCATTGAGTTTACAACTTCACTACTGAAATATTTTATACCATCACTTACCTTGATTAAAGTTGATGGGGAATAAATACAGGAGAATAACGGTCGGAGAATTTCTGTCAACGATACTGTAATGAACCGTGTAAGATGTTCAACACTCAAGTGTGTGATGAGGACTAATCAAACGGTTATTATTGAGGCAACTCTATGGCTCGTATGGAAATTGAATTCCGAGAAATCGGTTGTTTATTCTCACCCCCACTCGGAACTTTTGATTTCATTGCGCTTCCATTTTTTGTATCCATTGTCCAATGTTTGTGTACTGAAATCCCAAGGTCATTTCCCAAAGAAATGCGGCGTTTGATTTCTCGGAGTCCAAAACCCGATTGGCAGCCATTGGATTTCGAACCCGACTCGTCGGATTAGAAATCGCTCGCACTACCGACCGAGCTATCGTTGGCTTTTAATTTTTATTAAGTGGTAATACCCCGAGTGCTTCAAAATTATCGGGTATTTCTCGATAACTTCGTTGTAAACGAACAAAAGTGTCAAGTTTTGCAGGAAAATTTGTAAACCTGCAAAACTTGACACGATCGTTTGTTTGCAGGGAAGTTTGAGGGAAATACCAGATAATTTTGAAGCACGAGGGGTATTTGTCGGATTATTTTTCACGTACGGATTTTGGTCAGGAGTGTCGTTTACGCAACCTCAAAATGACATCCGAGAACAATTGAAGAGTTAGTACGAAATATCCGGAAAAATAAATATGAGTACGAAATAACCGAAAAAATATATATAACCTAGTGCGAAATATCCGAAATAAAACTTCCTCGAGCCTATCATTTGTCATCAAATGCTGCATTCTGATTGGCCCTGACCNTTGATGATAGGTACAGACACATACCATGTGCGTACCACTCGCTCCTGCCACTACAGTGTTTCGGCCTCAATTCCGCAAACTTGCTGAATCCCACATTTGCTCTCATAGCCATGTACCTTGTCGTACCAAATTCACGGGTCACTTTTCGCTCACTCTATGAAGGTGGAGCAATAGTCAAGAGTTGAATACGTTCAGAATATTCTGTCGTATTGAATTTTTGCTTGAGTCCATCCAACAATTCCTCCAATTCCAATTCTCGTGGAGAACGAAAATTTGCTGGAATGTTCCTGTGGTGCTCTGTCTCTAAATCATCATCTGCTGTTGGAACATCGTACTCCTCTGAAGCTTCGTTGAAAATCACATCCCCATCAGGATCAATTGAATGGAAGGAATTACCTGATCTCAAAGAACTCCCTGCGATATTGCTCGTAGAAATGTCTATTAGAAATAGTGTGGCACTGGACGAACGATCGGCTGGAACATTTGATGACGATGAAGAGACTTCCCGATTCGATGAAGATTCAGAGGGTAGTGATCCAGGAATGTAAGTCAAAGCTCTTTTCCTACAGGAGCTACATAGTTTTGCATTTTCTGGCAAGAATGGAAATGTCTGTCGTAGTCTTCTTGAGATTCAACGCAAGTCTTTTCCATTGTGACCTTTCTCCCCAGGAACTTGCATTGGATTTGCACATCTTTCGACATGCAGCATCTTGTGGAATAGGAATGAAGAACAGTTCTGATCATTCAAAAAAAGGGAAAAAAATAATAACGATCCATTGAGTTTACAACTTCACTACTGAAATATTTTATACCATCACTTACCTTGATTAAAGTTGATGGGGAATAAATACAGGAGAATAACGGTCGGAGAATTTCTGTCAACGATACTGTAATGAACCGTGTAAGATGTTCAACACTCAAGTGTGTGATGAGGACTAATCAAACGGTTATTATTGAGGCAACTCTATGGCTCGTATGGAAATTGAATTCCGAGAAATCGGTTGTTTATTCTCACCCCCACTCGGAACTTTTGATTTCATTGCGCTTCCATTTTTTGTATCCATTGTCCAATGTTTGTGTACTGAAATCCCAAGGTCATTTCCCAAAGAAATGCGGCGTTTGATTTCTCGGAGTCCAAAACCCGATTGGCAGCCATTGGATTTCGAACCCGACTCGTCGGATTAGAAATCGCTCGCACTACCGACCGAGCTATCGTTGGCTTTTAATTTTTATTAAGTGGTAATACCCCGAGTGCTTCAAAATTATCGGGTATTTCTCGATAACTTCGTTGTAAACGAACAAAAGTGTCAAGTTTTGCAGGAAAATTTGTAAACCTGCAAAACTTGACACGATCGTTTGTTTGCAGGGAAGTTTGAGGGAAATACCAGATAATTTTGAAGCACGAGGGGTATTTGTCGGATTATTTTTCACGTACGGATTTTGGTCAGGAGTGTCGTTTACGCAACCTCAAAATGACATCCGAGAACAATTGAAGAGTTAGTACGAAATATCCGGAAAAATAAATATGAGTACGAAATAACCGAAAAAATATATATAACCTAGTGCGAAATATCCGAAATAAAACTTCCTCGAGCCTATCATTTGTCATCAAATGCTGCATTCTGATTGGCCCTGACCGTCCAAAATCCGTACGTGGAAAAATAATCATGATAAGTGAAAAATCATGTGAATTCGAGCAATTAACGCTATTGCGAAAGATATTGGGCATGTCTGCCAGGTACAAAAGTGAAGTTATGGGGGTAAAAGTTTGTNCCATCAGGATCAATTGAATGGAAGGAATTACCTGATCTCAAAGAACTCCCTGCGATATTGCTCGTAGAAATGTCTATTAGAAATANCAGGGTAGCTGAATTGACATGGAATGTCCCATGTATGATCGGAAAATCGATTTTTCCACGGCATTTTTTTCTTTTTCTCATCTCCATATGGCTATCCCATTTTGAAATACCCCGGAAAAGTTGAGTGATATCATCATCCATCGAAGAAAAAAAAAATTATTCGATTTTCGAATTGCCCCTGCGAAACAGGGATTAAAATAACGAAAAACTTAAAAAATGGCTTAGTATTCATCCTATTCATATAAAAAAACGAAAAAAATCTTTTTTTATTTTTTCAAAAATTTGAGATTTTGTTATTTGTCCTGGCCAAACAATTAACGTTAAAGGAGCGAAAATTTAGAGAAAGTATGTACTCATGTAGTACTTAATTGGGAGCATGCTAATTCAGGATTCTGAGAACCAAAAAAATCCAGGGTGGCTGAGTTAACATGGAATGTCCCATATATCTTTCATAGTTTGGGCACTAGGGCAATTTGAACAATTAAATTGTTGACAATGAATAGTTGCAATGCCTAAAATTGATTGCAAATTGTTTACTTAACGTCCCGTGATTATAGTTCATTGTTGAAAAAAAGAATACGCATTAGAATGCCAGTGGTCGGTCGATCGGTCAATTTGAACGCGCTTTTTTGGGGGTGTCCCGCAGGTATATAACAGCAGTGTCAAAGATACTATTCTGCACTACTTCTCACGATTTCTTGTCTGGGAATCGGTATTGCATACTTCCCAAACTCGAAAACTTGAAAATCACTTCAAAAAATCGTGTCCTGGACAGTGGCAATGGGTTTTTTTAGTCTTGTGGCTGGCTAGTCGTTCGGCTCGGACGCCAACCCCACACGAGTTAAAAACCCTATCGCAACGGCCCAGAAAAATACTATGCATCCCCTTAGAAGATATACGTAAGAACTGATCTGCTTTGGATAATTTATCTCTCCTTACCACTTTATTTATTTGAACAAGCTTCATTAACATTTATATCTGTACACGAATAAAATAAAAATTAAATTCTCTGTGGCAATTGTTGTTCTGTCAACTTTAGATTTTCTAGGTCGATTGTAGATCTTGTTAATTGTTCTTGATATTTTTCGGACTAGTCGTGTTTTGGCTTTTCTTGCTTGCGGCGCTGATACTGCTCGTAAGCGTTGCCTGCGAAACGAAATCGAGTCTAATTATTTATTCCTCTGAGAGTTTTCAGCTACAGAAATAATAAAACATAATTGAGATTTGGTTAATCGTGAAAGCAGTAACCTAGGTAATTTCTTACGGATGTTCTGCACATTGTTAGCATGTAAAAGTGAAGATTTTAATTTTATTTGTGAAGGAGAGTTCTGAGTGACAAAATGTTTGAGTTTACGAACCTCAGTCGATCGTCTGAACTTCATTATACCCAATTTGTCCAAGTATCTGATGGTCAGTGTTGTTCCACCTGAAAATATAATTTTTTTTCAATGTCAGAAGTACGCAGTTAATTTTATAAAATTCATTTTTTTACCAAATTTTAAATAGATTGTTGTGCACATATATCTAAAGCTTCTGAGTGCAGAGAAAAACATAAGGATTCTCTACAAATGGTCCTTTAGCTTTTTCTTGCTAGATTCACTAGTTTTAAAGATGTTTGGCAAACGATAACTCACCGACTGTAACTGTGTATCTTAATGGCGTGACTATTTTATAGAGTGCATAAACCACAGCCCAATGTCCGGCATTGGAATTCTTGATAATATTTATGTACTTCTCACTCAGATGAAGGTACTCCATGAGCTGTACGACATCGACACCGCTAAAAATTGAGTTTATCCGTTGAAATACAATCTGAATAACCTGTTTATCAATCTCTCGACCAGTGATGGACACTTCTAAGCATGCTTACTAATTAGTTCTCCATTGAGTACAATTTATTGAATCACTTAGCACTTGGAACTATTCACGTACTAAGCTGTCAATGGATTTAGTACTTCAAAATGTCTAAATGCTAAATTCCAAGATAGTTAATACCATTGGAAAACAAGTGGGAAATTGCTCCTGTATTAAATATAGTATGGTTATTTTTTCTAGTTAATTAGCAATATACTTTTGAATGGTCATTTTGCACATCATTTCCGTCTCTCAAGTGCTTGTGCATTTAAGTATTCAGGATTGAAGAAATTTCGAATTGCCCATCACTGCTCGCAACATTGGAAATAATACAGGGTGTCCTTAAACAGGGTAGAAAAATTTTAGGGGGTTATTTTGAGCCGAAAAGTCTTTTGGATTTTTTGGATCAGATGTACTTGTCAAAATAGATAAATTGCAAAGAAGGCCAATGGGATTCTTCTATCAACGAAAAATAAGTCTATGTGTAATTTGTGCATAAAATGATGTCTTGTTCAACATACAATATTGTACTTTCATTCACACAGATTTATGTTTTATTAATCGGAGAAATTCGGCCATCTTCGAGTTCCCCTAATTTGATAGAAGTCCATCTGACCGAAACAATCAGTGCTGGTCACTCCCGGGTTGGGGTGTGACCTATTATGGGACGAACCAATAACATCCCGATCGATTCCATTTGTTCTGTTGATTAGGAAAAAAAAATTTTGCAAGTTTAATCCAAATAACAGAACAACCGCTAAGACGATTGTGAAGACGCGTCGATTATACAAAATTAATTCATATTCCATCATTATCTCAGGTAAAATAGTCGACTTTTCAATGGAATTGTCGCTTTTTGGCGTTTTCCTTACAAGTTTCATGCAAATAACTAACAAACCGCTAAAGCCACTATTTACATGATCTAATCGGTTCTGAGCTACATGAAGACGCATCGATTGAAAAATTGTTTTTGTATTGTATACAGTATAGTTTTTTTTTTATTTTTTCTTCTCGTATACCCTTTTGGGTCTTTACGATTTGTTCCATTCCCACCCCCCAGACCCCTGGACCACATTTGCCGAAGGACAAGGGAAAACCTCATTTGAGAGAAAAACCTGCCCAGTTACAGTCCTCTCTTACGAGACTCCCGCTCGGCAATGAAACTGTGAGATTTAGAGTGTCACAAATTTTGGCCCCCCTAGCCGAGAATCGAACCCAGGTCTCCCGTATGCCAATCCCACACTCTAACCACACAGCCCCGCCGTCGGTTATATAGTATAGTTATTTTTGCTAATAAATAAGCAATATGGTTCCGAATGGTTATTTTGCTCATAATTTCCTTCTATCATATACAATTCATTGTTTATTTAATTTTATTTAATTGAATAAGATTTTTGTTGACCTAATTTTGTTCGATTTTCAACTTAGTTGAATGTTATCAGTAACATTATTCTTATCATCCCTTTTCTTCTATACAAACGATTGTCTTTATTACAATTCTATCTCTCCCCTCAGCCCTTCGATAAAATGCTGATAGAAAAATTTTATTTACACATACTTGAATGAATTTGAAACATCACATTTGAAGAAACCATCAGAAAGCGCACTTTCAGGGAAGTTCATGAAAAATTCAAAATTTTCAACAATCATTATAAGAATTATATCAACCAATACATCTATCGTAATCATTTTCTAACTTCGACTTAAAGGCATCAAAACAAACATTTTAAGTTATGATGGAATTCATTTGAAGCAGGATATTCAAAGATATCCCCGGACTTTTGATTTTCAAAGAATACAAAATTTTTGAAAATTTTCGATTAAATCAAAGTAACGATTATTGCTGCCGCCTTCATCTTCGATGTCGGTCAAAGGGTCATCCAAACAATTTTTTTAAGCCATCATTCAATCAATTCAGAAAATTTTCACTTATGAATAGAACCCTGGCAATCGTTCAATTTTTACTTTTTCTAATTTTGCTTGGAAATGATATAGAATGGTCTAAAACCAAAAAATTCGAAATTTGAGCACCCCGTGTGTGTGTGTGTGTGTAAATGGTCATCGGGTGGTCATTTTTTCGTAAATTAAATGAATAAACGGCGAAAACACTTCCAAAAAAATTGAAATTTTGTCAGATATTTGGTATTGAATTGGACTACCTCTCTGTAAAATTTCAGCCCGATCGGTCCATTAGTTTTTGAGAAAAAGCAATTTGTTTTTGGTTGGTTTTTTGTGAATATCTCAAAAACTGTGCAACCGATTTCAATATTTTATTTTTTTAATATTCACCTCGATGTCTTCTATCTCAATCAATCAAAATATGCATACCCGTTTTTATAAAATTTTCAAGATATTTCCATTTTTCCGTTTTTTGTTTAAAATCCTTGTACGTTTTCTCACTTTCGCAAAAATCGAGATATCAACTTGAATTTTGGCATGGAGTTATTTCTTATCATTGTGACGTTTGGTATTGAACCTGGGCTGAATCCGATGATTAGTTCCTGAGATATTCAATTTTGTATGAACTTTTGTACTTCATTTAGTAAGGATACTATAATTACAGATTTATTTTCAATTTCCGTTCATTTTTTGCTTCAGAATGGAAGCATTGCATTCGTTCAAAATGCCTGTGCGAGCTCTAACTATTGAAAAAAAACAAGATATAAACTAGAAATTTGGTACAGGTTTCTACTAAGAAAAAAATCCTGCCCAAATCATTCGGAAGCTTACCATCAATTTACCCCTGTACCAGATTCGCGGGGGATTGGGGGTGGAAAGGGAACAAATCGTAAAAACCCGAAAGGGTATACAAGTGAAAAAATTATTTTTTCTCGTAATGGATCGATATAACACAAAAAGTTTAAAACTCAAATTTGAACGATTACAATGCTTCCATTCGGAAGCAAAAAAGTTAAATCAGTTCATTGGTTCAGGAGAAATCGTTGAACAAAATTCCGTCACGTTGGACAAATTTTCGACTTATCGGCTCCAAATTATCCCCTAAATGCACCTCTGAAATAAATCGCTATCGCATTTAGGGGCACCCTGTAGATAAAAATGAGAAATACTTTTTCGCAGCAACATATAAAATCGACACCCATCCAATGGAAGTGACAATATGCACTGGAATAAGTATGTGCCAGTAGTCCTTAGTCAACTGCTTCATTTTCTGAAAAATCGAGACTTTCTTCTGTGCCTCTGGCAGAGGATTGCACTGGTCCTTGGGAGCAGTGCTGTAATACACTGAATAAATATTTTGGTCGATGGATTCATGATTCCTGAGGTTTCTGAATGGTTGAAGAGAGCTGGAGATGAGGAAATTATGCCAAGAGACCGAATTCCTTGATTTATTATCTGAAACAAAACTTATTCACAATAAATCATGAAATTGCTCCGATTTAATTTCCGAACTCGTGAGTTTTTATTAAATATTTTGAAGCTTAAGAGATAAATTTTCATGAAAATCTTTCCTCTTGAAATTCCCTACAAAAAAAATTTCCAGAATTTAACTTCGAAAATACTTATCGAATACTGAACCATGAAGGGCCAGTTGCACCAAGCCCTGCTAGCCGAATAAATTTTGCAGGAGAAATTTATGTCTCGGCTAAATTTATTTCATAGTTGGACAATTTTAAAAATACGTCGTAGAGTGCTTCAATTCAGCCATTTGGCCGGGAATATCGAATAAATACTTCATAATTAGTGGCACTATTCGCAAGTCGTGATGATACATGAGAATTGATCGGCAGAGTATTTTTATTTAATTTGACACTTCACTGAGGATTTCCTTAATGTACATCTCAAAACAATCGGACCCAAAAGTTAGTCCCTATGGATTTCCGGAAAAAATTCTAAATGACTCAATTTATTGCATTTTCATAACTTATTGAGATCTTCATGTGTTATTAATGCAGGCAACAATAACTGTTTGAATCAAATAAGACATGTTATCATGGAATTTCCATTTTTTATGTTGAATATGGCAGAAAGTAGGCAGTACAAAATTTTACAAAAAATTTACCGTATTCGAAATTTATCAATCTATCAAGGATTAGTTTTTCAAGAACATCGTAAGAACCGTTTTCTCATAAGATGGAAAAATCGAGTTCGGGGGGATCCATACCCCCCTTGGTCTATGCCTTGCGTGTTAGAAGCCCGGATTTTGTACAAGAGCGTAGTGAGGCATTTAGCTTGTCAACATTTCGCCTAGCAATAAACAATGGAGAGTAAATTTACGAATGGCTTTAATCTCAGTAAAACTAGTGGGGAAAGTGGGGAAAGCCGTCAAAAAGGATTGAACGCAAGTTGAAAGTCACTGAACAATTGAAAAAGAGGTGTTCAAGAGTATCCATATCATTAAGATCGCGGTAATTACAAATACTTTTCGGTTCAAATGAGACTTTACAAAATCTTTTAGCTTCCGTGCGTAATGTAGCAGCTGTCTCTATCTTTCATCACTCTTTTCTTTTGATAGACCACTAGCTGATCAATGTAGGGGAGGGTGGGGTAAAATGAACACTTTTGACTTTTTTAAAATGTTCATGGCGTGTTGAATTGTTCATGAAATGGCAGTTTTATTTTTCAATTGAAAGATTCCTCTTTGTGATGAGCTTAGACTGAGCTCAATTGATAAATCTGTTTATGAGTCATGAATATGTTAAAAAATGTCAAAAGTGCCCATTTTACCCCACCCTCCCGTATTATTGTTTTTTACCAGTTATCATTTTGTCTCCACTTTGCGTTACCAAATTTTAAAACTGCATTTATATTTATATTTATTGTACATGATGTGTATATTACTTCCACCCAACAATCAAGCTATGTACCCTATATGCAGAAATAAATTATTATTATTATTATTTATTATTTCCTAAAAAGTGTAGTACAGCTAGTTAGCATGTTTTCAATAGCTGGGGACTATTATACACATCTATGAAAACTATGGGGACAATCTCAGGAACGTGGTTTCTAGAGATATACCTTAACTGGGCTTGGTACAATCGAGTCGAAGTGAATTTTTTTCTTTTCCACTCAAAAATAAAATAAAAATGAATAAATAAAAATATTTACTGCCTTGCTCACCTACCATATACTCTATTGAGCCATCTCGTGTCGTTGAATTGGCAGAAGCATCGTATATTACGCAAAGTGCTAGTTACTCGCAATTTTCCGTAAGATTTCAGTAAAATTCCTGCTTTATTTAAATTTCTACTTATTATGAATTCCATTTCAAATACATTAAGGTCGATCCGATGATTGGAGAGAGATTAAAACGTGGTTTTACTATGCATCCATTGAAACCCACAGTCAGATGGCTCTAACCCCAAATCATTGTGTCTGCTGAGTTTTTAATTATTCAGTCAATTCAAACTAACCAAGTCGATAATTCTTTGATATTACATTCCCCGATTATTGCTTTCGAGTTTTACCTTTAGTCTGTCCAAAATTACACTGTCTTTATCACAGAACTGACGGCTGTATCCGCAGTAATTCGGTCACTTCGACACAGAAATCCGGGAACTTTATTATCCACTGATGAGGGAAATCGAAGACTGGACTCGACTCCATTTTGGTATTTAGTATACATATAGTACGCGCTAGAGCCGTTAGCCGAACCAGGCCGAACATCTGATCGCACCCTAATATTATTGAAAATTAATTTTTGAAGTTTTGAAGTGAATTTCGAGGTGAAAAACCGAGACAATGTGGTTCGAGGTGTTGCCTGCTGCTGTCATCATCGGGACATGCGTTGCACTCCCTCAATTCGCGGCGTATTACTGGAATAGAGCCATTTTTGGAAACGTAAGTGACGTTTTCTTACATAACCTGTGGGTTTAAAAAATAGATTTATCGCTGCTTCAAAAAAAAACATCAATTAATTTTAGTTTCAAAAAAATTTTCATATACCTTCAATGCCCCGGTAACTCCCACTATCCTGGTTTCCGAGACCCTTAGTGATTTGTTAATGGATGGAATTTAAAATTTACCGAGGCAGAGTAAATAACTCATCTTAGTGCAAAAAGAATTTTCTATTCTTCTGGTCAGAAAAGCTGATCGTAATCACATAATTACAAACATTTCAAATTAAATAACGCGATCCGTCGAGAAATGTCACTTACTGGGTCCCCTCCCCAATTACCCATGTTCCTTTTTCTGTCACTGGTATTTGAGAGCAGTTAAACTATCCGAATCTTTGACACTATATATTTATAATAACGGGAGAATATGTATATCATCTTTCGTTTCATTTCACGTTTTATGGATGACCTAATGTCACCTTGATCATTACTATTCGATAATATCACTGCTGCGTGTTATGTTTCTACTTGACATTAAGGGGTCTCCGCAGTACTTTTGGGTAAAATATGACAATGTGCTTGCGATTAAATATATCATACAGTAATAAACAATGTTAAAAAGGTATTTGTAAAAGCAATTCGAACTACTTTTATGGTTTCATTCGTGTTTAATTAATTATTCAAATTGCGCCTTATACACAACCTTTATGGACGCTACTTTGTCCCATACCCCTCACACTGTTAAGGTGCTAGCCAGCAAAGGAAGCTGAATTGTTGTATATTAAGCCCTAAACAATATGGGTACGAAGTCCCATTGGGTTTTATCGTTGATTTGTTCAATAAATTAATGATAAAAATACGATGGCGATGTCTGTCATTATCCAACATACGCCATGTTGATGTCCCGTCTCTCTTGAAACCAACCTCACTAACTTGACTATTTCACACTCCACTCACCCACGCGCTTATCGCAACTGCGGAGACTCCTTAAGGGGTCACAGAAGGCCACCGTTTCCCTGAAATTTTCAAACAAATTTCCTGCGCAAAGTTATTAATATTTTTGGCATCCAAAGCACATTTATATTCATCATCGCCTTCTGGAGATTAATGTGTTTTGATTTGTCAAAATATCGATAACTTTCGGCAGGAAATTTGTTCAAAAATTTGGAAAATTAAGGGCATTCTGTTACCCCTGATACTTTTGATGTTCAGGAAAGAAGTAGGATATTCGAAAAATGCAGCCAATTTCATGAATTTTTTTCACCTATTGTTTAATCCGTTTAGGCACTCCTTGCAAAATTTCAGAAATCCCAGGTTTAGGACAACAACAAAAATGAATTCCAAAGTTGCTATCTATACATGAGATTAAAGGGTGCATCGATAACTCGTACATTTTCCCTACATTATCGACCAGTCGGTAATGTGGAAAAAATACTGAATTTATCGATGACCCATTTAACCTTATATGTAAGCAGCAACTTTAAATTCATTTTTGTTTTTCTCCTGAACTTGGAGTTTCTGAAATTTTGCAAGAGATGCCTAAATGCATTAAATAATATGTGAAAAAAGTAAATGAAAAAATCCTCACTTGAACATCGTTAAGAGGTAACGGTACCCCCGGAAAAATTGTAGTAGAGCTACCCTCCTTTAGATGGATACCTCCCAACCGATAGATGGCATTAGCATAAATGTAATGATGCTGGTCGATAAAGAATTCTGGTAAGCCATGTTGGGGGTTGGGCGCCACAGTGGGGATGCCATACGCTTCGGAAAATGGGAGGAGTGGGGGTAGACCAAACCCATCTACCGAATTCATAGATATTTATATTTGCAGAGTCCTCACTTTATCTTCCTAATTATTTATCACTCAATTTTCAAATGGTCCGTACGCCCAAGTTATTCGAAGAATCTCAACTCTTGAACTTTCATTGGATTGTACAATATAAATCCTTGGTTCTGATATCTGTATTTTGAAATTCGTCCAATGATAGACAAGAAATTTGACTTTTTTCATTACAGTTTCCGGTGGTAAATAAATCTGTAATTTTTTACTCCTCATATGAATATGAAAATTATTCGGGACATAGATAATCCCTCCAATGACAAATGTACAAAATCTCAAAAGTCTCAGTTAATTATTTCACTTCCAAATGTCCCTTCGAAAATTCGTCGGTAAACTGAAAGGGTACCGTTTTCTCTGAAGGGGCAACACAATACCACAAATTTTCAAAATTTTTGACCAAATTTCCTGCCGAAAGTTATCGATATTTTTACAAATCTAAACACATCAATCTACAAGAGACGATGATGAAAATCAATGTGCTTTGGGCTCGAAAATACTAGGGGGGGTAGACATTCAAAAAATTTACGAAAAAAATTGTTTTTTTCAAAATTCAAAAGTTTTTAAAATTGTTTCATCGGACAGTCCGGATACCTGATAAATCCGTATAGGATGGACTAAAATGGACGTTCAAAAAATTTTCGAAAAATTTCACTAATCGAATTTTTTTAAATTGCTTCCTGGCAGAGTCCATAACCGAAAACTCCACAACCGAAAAATTCAAAAGTGGGGTAAAATGGACATCGAACAATTTGGTCCTATTCAACTTTTAGTCAAGAAAATTTTCAACTGGCATTTTCCAACAGAATCGTGTCGGTATTTGTCTAGAGAAATTAGAGTTGGAAAAGATATTAACAAATTAACTTCAACTCCATTAAATTTTACATAGAAATTTGAAGTATAGAGGAGTTTTGTATTTTCTGTTTTACTATTGAAATAACTTTCAGGGTGTTCAGCCGTCAGGAAAATCTGGAAAACCGGGAATTGTCAGGGAATTTGATTGGTCTGGAAATGTCAGGGAATTACGACATCTTTCTGGAATTTTAAAATTTGAAGCTTGTTTTCGCCAAATACCTAAATTTTTGAGCTCCAAAAAGTTAGCAGACCAGGGTCATCGGATCGGGTCGGTGAAAAACTCAAAAATACGTGCTATTAGTGTGTTTTTATTTGCTGAAAAAATTAAATTTTCTGCTCCCAAATTTTGGCCGAAAATTTGATTTTTTAGTTTGGGCCATATATCTAGCAGACCAATGTCATCGGATTGGCATAATTTTCATAGTAGCGTGCAGTACTAATTGTGTGCTAATTTTCTGCGAAAAAATTAATCGATTTTTCCTGAATTTTTTGTGAATTTTCCAGGACCCTGAAAATTCGTATAGTGCTGACAGATAAATGGCGGGTCCCACAGACCCAACGATGTATAAAAAGTTTCAATGAATAATGTGCTCCAATTTGACGCCCACAGAAAATTTTCTGCTGCAAAATTTTCGCCAAAAATTTGATTTTTCATTTTGGGCCATTTATCTAGCAGACCAATGTCATCAGATTGGCATAATTTTCATACTAGCGTGGAGTACTAATTATGTGCTAACTTTCTGCGGAAAAAGTAATCGATTTTTTCCGAATTTTCCGTGCTTTTCCCAAGACTTCACAAATGGTCTAGTGACGATAGAAAAATGGGGGGTTCCACAGACCCAAGGATCTGCAAAAGGCTTCAATGAATCATGTGCTTTGATTTAAGGCCCAGTAGGAATTTTCTGCACCATTATCTAACGACCTGATCTTCATCGATCAATAAGACCCAATCCCAGATGGGACCCGTGGGGCCCAAGGATAAGTCAATAGCATCAATGAATCATGTGCTTTCATCTAAGGCTCTGTAGGAATTTTCAGCTCCATTAACAGATGACCCAAGCGTCATCTGTCCGTATGACCCAATCCAAGATGGCGCCCGTGGGTCCCAAGATGAGTCAATAGTATCGATGAATCATGTGCTTTCCTTTAAGGCCCAGTAGGAATTTTCTGCTCCATTAACAAATGACCTAAGCGTCATCTATCAACAAGACCCAATCCAAGATGGCGCTCGTGTGTCCCAAGATGAGTCAATAGCATCGATGAATCATGTGCTTTAATTTAAGGCCCAGTAGGAATTTTCTGGTCCATTAACAAATGACCTAAGCGGCATCTATCAACAAGACCCAATCCAAGATGGTGTCCGTGGGTCCCAAGATGAGTCAATAGCATCGATGAATCATGTGCTTTCATTTGAGGCCCAGTAGGCATTTTCTGCTCCATTAACAAATGACCAAAGCGTCATGTATCAATAAGATCCAATCCGAGATGGCGCCCGTGGGTCTCAAGATGAGTCAATAGCATCAATGAATCATGTGCTTTCATTTGAGGCCCAGTAGGCATTTTCTGCTCCATTACCAAATGACCAAAGCGTCCTGTATCAATAAGATCCAATCCGAGATGGCGCCCGTGGGTCTCAAGATGAGTCAATAGCATCAATGAATCATGTGCTTTCATCTAAGGCCCAGTGAGAATTTTCTGCTCGATTAACAAATGACCTAAGCGTCATCTATCAATAAGACCCAATTCAAGATGGCGCCCGTGGGGCCCAAGATGAGTCAATAGCATCGATGAACCATGTGCTTTCATTTAAGGCCCAAATGACCTAAGGTCATTTGTTAATGGAGCAGAAAATTCCTACTGGGCTTTAAATGAAAGCACATGATTCATCGATGCTATTGACTCATCTTGGGACCCACGGGCGCCATCTTGGATTGGGTCATACGGACAGATGACGCTTGGGTCATCTGTTAATGGAGCAGAAAATTCCTACTGGGCCTTAAATCAAAGCACATGATTTATTGATGCTATTGACTCATCCGGAGACCCGGAGGCGCCATCTTGGATTGGGTCTTGTTGATAGATGACGCTTAGGTCATTTGTTAATGGAGCAGAAAATTCCTACTGGGCCCTAGATGAAAGCACATGATTCATCGATGCTATTGACTTATCCTGGGCCCCACGGGTGCCATCTTGGATTGGGTCTTATTGATCGATGAAGATCAGGTCGTTAGATAATGGTGCAGAAAATTCCTACTGGGCCTTAAATGAAAGCACATGATTCATTGATGCTATTGACTCATCTTGGGACCCACGGGCGCCATCTTGGATTGGGTCTTATTGATAGATGACGCTTAGGTCATTTGTTAATGGAGCAGAAAATTTCTACAGGGTCTTAGATGAAAGCACATGATTCATTGATGCTATTGACTTATCCTGGGCCTCACGGGTGCCACCTTGGATTGGGTCTTATTGATCGATGAAGATCAGGTCGTTAGATAATGATGCAGAAAATTCCTACTGGCNTTATACAAAAGAGCTAACCTCTGCCGAATAGACGATCAGAACTCGCCCCGAAAATCAAAAGACTCTAATGGCGTCACTTCGCCCGACGATAAGCGTCGTCAACAAGCGAACGGGCGAATTCTAATCGTTGTCGATTTAACACAGATACAAAATAACATTTCTGGAACTCTTCTTCCGCTCACCACAATCTCCAACGAGTCTAGTCCAGGAGCCACGGCGAAAGATTCTCCAAATACTTCAAATCCCGTAAGNTTGGATTGGGTCTTATTGATCGATGAAGATCAGGTCGTTAGATAATGATGCAGAAAATTCCTACTGGCCCTTAAATCAAAGCACATGATTCATTGAAGCCTTTTGCAGATCCTTGGGTCCGTGGAACCACCCATTTTTCTATCGTCACTAGACCATTTGTGAAGTCCTGGGAAAAGCGCGGAAAATTCGGGAAAAATCGATTACTTTTTCCGCAGAAAATTAGCACATAATTAGTACTCCACGCTAGTATGAAAATTATGCCAATCTGATTGGTAGCTGACATTGGTCTGCTAGATAAATGGCCCAAAATCGAAAATCAACAATTTGGCGAAAATTTAGTAGCAGAAAATTTTCCGTGGGCTTCAAATTGGACCACATTATTCATCGAAACTTTTTATACATCGTTAGGTCTGTGGGACCCGTCATTTATCTATCAGCACTATACGAAATTTCAGGGTGCTTGGAAATTCGCGGAAAAANCTCGTCTGGATGGT